TATAGCAAAAGTCAAACTGGTGAAATTCCATAAAATCAAGCATCATTAAAGCTTCTAGAGGGAAGGAATTAGGTTATCTACATATATCAGTTTAATATCAGACTTCTTTTGAGCTGTATTAGATGATAGGAGACAATGGAAAAATAGCTTTGAAATTCAGGTGGGGAAATGATTTGGAATCTCTAATTCTGTTTTTAACTTTAGTAGCCTCCAAAATAGAACAAATACATTTCAGAAAGGCAAAGACTCAAACAGTTTTTGAAAGAAATTCCTTCAGGAGGACTAATAGAAGAGCATAGGATACAAGAAGCGCTGATAAGCAAAGAAGCCAACATGGTTAGGGTTGACTCTGAAAAATTTAAAATGTTTCTGTGAAGCATAAGCAATGTGTTAGTAATAATAATAACAGTAACTTTGAGAAACTATTGATACTGCTATAAACCTTGGAAGAGGGACAAGGGGAAAGCATACATTTTTGTTGGGGGTGGGCAGGCTTTCTTAAAGGGCTAGGTAGTACTTCGCTCGGGCTTTGTGGGTGGTACTGTCCCGTTGCGCCTGCCCCTTTGCCACCACAGCACAGAAGCAGCCAGAGGTCACACACATAAACAAATGAGTGTGGCTAGGTTTCATCAAACTTTGTCTATAAACAATAAAACTTGAATTTCATATAACTTTCACATAGTACAAAATATTCATCTTAGCTTTTGGGCCAAAGATACTGAATAGAAAATGTGCTGGATTTGGTCCATACTTTGCTGACCTCTGTGTTACAGAACAAAGGAAGGAGGTAAAGAAAATATTAATAAAAAAACAGAAGGGGAGGAAAGTGGAACAAGTATAGAAGTATAAAGAAGTATAACAAACAGGAAACAAAAGAAGTCAGTAAAAGAAAAAGAAAAACACTTCTGGTAAATGTGAATGGAGTAAACTTTTTCACTAAAGCCAAATTCTCAGGTTGGATAGATGGCAGGTAATAATAGGGTACTAGATCATGGTCTATCTGTGTGATGAAACAGCGCTTCTTAAAATGTGATTTATGCAACAGTGCCAGTAAGCAGACTGTTACTGGTTCACCACAGAACTAGAGTAGTTGGAAATTTTTGTAGTATTGTGACATTGTCATAACTTCATGTGTGATCACCTTCCTAGTAATTTATTTTAGTTTACAAAACTGTCAACCAATAATGGTTTGGAAATTAAAAACAGAAAACAGGTTTGAGAAGCACTCTTAGAGAATACAACTAAGGCATTAAAAAAATGAAGTAGATCCATATCTATAGACATGTTAAATGAGAAAAAGCAAGTAATAGAACAGTATAAAGGTATGAGTCAATGTATTTTTTTAAAAACACCAATCATGTATGTAATGAATTTTTAAAATATGGAACAACTCACATCAAGTTGTGAACCATGATTACAAAAAAGAGATTATGATTGGTAGGATAGGGTTAAAGGACGGGGTAATAAAAGAGTATATGTTTTAGTCTATATACTTTTGTATTTGACTTTTTTTTTTACAGCAGTATGTTTTCATTTATTGTGTAATGTAATGTCTTATTTAATAATTTCTTGGTCTTTTTGATAAATGGTACTTGTCAATTGAATATCCATATGGAAAACAAGGACCTTTACCTACCTTACACAATATACAGAAATTAATTTGAGATGATCATAAACCAAAATATGTAAATTAAAACAGTAAAGCTTCTAGAAGAATACTTGGGATAATGTCCTTACGAATTTAGAGTAGACAAAGATTTCTTAAATAGAATATAAAAAGGACCAAGCACAATGGAAAAGATTTATAAACTCGGTTTCATTAACACTGGATGTTAGGTTCATAACAATATACCATTAAGGGAAAGAAAATACAAGCTACAGATTGAAGAACATACTTAATATATCCAATATATGTGAAACCTAAAATTACATGTATTTTCTGTGTATTTATCTAATGAAGAACTTTATATCCTACAAGTTAATGAAAGACAATTCCATTAAAATTGGGCAAAAAGTTTGAAGAGGCACTTCAAAAAGAAGATAGCCAGATGGCCAATTTGCATGTGAACATGGCCAATTTGCATATGAAAATGTTCTCAACATCATTAATCATAGGGGAAATGCAAATGAAAACTACTGTACCTGGATCAGAATGGCTAAAATTAACAGGACTCAGAAGACTTAGTGTTGGTGAGGCTATCAGAAGAGCAATTAGAAGTCTCATACATTGCTGGTGGGAGTGTCAATTAGTATAGTTACTTTGGAAAATGTATTGTCTACTGAGGCTGGACATGCAGGAATTTTATGATGCAGTAGCTAGTTCTCCTGAGTATTCACTATATACAACAGAGTGCTTGAATTCAACGAAAGAGTGTTATGAGAATATCCATGTAAACTCTGTTCTTAATACCCAAGAAATCTCTCCATCAAGAGTATAAGTAAGTTGTGATGTATTCATATAATTAAGTACTACACAGCAGTGTGGAGAAGGAAATACTGCTACACATAACGATGTGGATGAATCTCATTGACATAGTAATGAGCCAAAGACAAAAGAATGTCTGCTATATGATTTCATTTTTATGATTTATGGTGAAAGAAGAGAATAATGGTTTCGTTTGCTCGGGCAGGGGGTACTGATTGGCAGAGGGGCACATAGCAGCTTTCTGGGATGCTGAAAAGGTTCTAATCTGGATAGTGGCCACATAGATACATGCAACAATTCATGAAGCTTTGCACCTACACACTTGGTATCTGCATGGTTTACTGTTACACCTCAATAAAAATGTGAAAAAAGCCCCAGCCTAACCAGCTTATTCTTTACCCTCTGATTTGAAATCTGTCATTATCTTATACCACATTTCTCATATATTCAAGGGCCTTTTTCTAGGTCTTGTGTTCTTTTTTCTGTGTCTATTTTTGCAGATAAACACTGTTCTGACTTAATCATTGTTGCTTCAGAATACATTGAATGAATACATTTAATGCTGTGAATCTTTTCCTACTAGTCTTCTACTCTAAAATTATCTTGGCTTTTCTCACCTCTTTATTATTTCAGATAATCTTTAGGATTAGCCAAGTCCTCCCACACCCTCATGCCACAGGAATTTGATTGCAGTTTCATGAAACTAATAAATTCTAAATTTGGAGATCATTGGCATGTGGATTGGGATCAGAAACGTTGTATGTCTCACTGTTTCCTCCCAGTTGTGTAGTTGTCTTAATGTAATGTGCACAGGTTTGGTTTTGGTTTTTTTTTCACATTTCTATTTTGCGATTGTGAATGGGATCTTACAGTTTTATGTGTCTTCATATAATATCTCTTGTATTATTGGAACTTAAGCATAAGAATAATCACTATTATTTATTGAATACTCTGTGCTAAATAATCTTATTTACTTCGTATAATAGACTCTCTTAAGTAAATACTGTTAGCAACATTATGCTAATTTTTACATTTGGGGTCAATGAGGGACAAAGACTTAAGGCTAAAGAGCGGGTTTGTGGTGGAGCTATGATTCCAACCCAGGCAATCTCACTCCAGAGCCACGTTGCCTGCAGACACCGCTCTGTTGGCCTCGGTGTCCTCGGGTGAGGGAGGAGAGATGTGTGGGAGGGTCAGTGTAGTGTGGGATCAAGTGCAGTGCTGATGGGTATGACTGATAGGACAGAGGGTGAGTAGTAATTGGGCGCATAACAGCAAGAACTATACTAAAGTGGGTTTTTTTTGGTATATGCTTATTTATATTTGTAGAAAACAGTATTCTCGTTTGAACTTATTCAAACCAAATAAAGTTCTATAGTTTAATCATTAAGAAATGTTTTAATAATTTCTTATATTCACAGATACTATATTTACCAAATGATGATAGCTATTGTTTTCATTGTGTTCTTTGTTTGTAGGGAACTATCACTCCTCCCCACTAGCTGCAATATTGAAAGTATATTGTAAAGATACACAGCATATTAAGGGAGATGGACTCTTAGCAGTATCTGAGAGGTGGTTCCACAGACTGGCCAGTGCTTGTGGAGACTAAAACTGTCCTTTGTTCCCAATCAAAATCAGTTTTAGGCACCCCAGCTGCTAGGTGTTTTTTTTTTTTAAGATACTCACTACAGTGCGCTATATGTTGCCTCAGCTACTACTGTCTCTGTTGTATGCTTTTTTGTCCATCCATTTGCATGTATATATATTACTAACTTGTTTTCTCCATGGTCCCAGGTAAAAGTTCGAGAACATTTAACTGGCTAATATAGTTACTGTGTTTGGGCCAAGCACTTCATGCTCCATAGACTATGGACTAGACTTTAGATTGGCTGCCTTAAGATAGGTGTTTGCCACAGCAGTTCTAGTCATTCTGGCTGGGGAGTGATGGATAAAACATGGCTTTTTAAGGGGTACCTCTTTAGTAACAAGATTGATTTGCCCTAGAGAAGGGGAATGTGATCACAAGGTATACTCTGATTAACATGTTTATAGCCATTGCACATTTTCCCTTTACTTGTAAAATCTAAAGAAGTGGCTAGAATTGAAAACAGCAGTTGGATTTAGAGATTGAGTAGTACAGAAGGGAAATATTAAAGTGTGCTTATATTCATGGCTTGAGAATAGTTCTTTGCTTACTGCTTTATAGGCCTGACAACACATAGCTGTCTGTCTCTTGTAGGTAGCTTGGTTAAAGTGCCTGTTTAATCAGGATTGTTAAAACCTTGGATGAGTGACTGATAAATAGTAGGGAGTTTTTTCTTTGATATTTTTATAGCTAGGTTTGGCTTGAGAGAGTCTTTTGAGAATTTTGTGAACCCCAGCAAACTCCTTTAAGAATATTCTCTGGTGTATGTTTTTAACCCAAATCAGTGCTGAATTTAAGATATATCATGAAATTTTTATTATGATAGTAAATCATTTGTAGTAAGATGAAAACACTGAATTATTAATATTCAATAATACGGATATTGGCAGTAAAACTGTATGTAAATACTTGTTAAATTGATCCTAGGTTGGGCCATGCAAGCTGCTGCCTATATCTTCATTCACAGGAAATGGAAGGATGACAAGAGCCACTTCGAAGACATGATTGATTATTTCTGTGACATCCGTGAACCACTTCAACTCCTCATATTCCCAGAAGGGACTGATCTCACAGGTAAGGTAGCCTGGGTCTGGATCATAGAATCTTTTAAAATGAAGGAACTTAGAAATCATCTAGTCTAGATGTATTATTTCTTAGATGAAGTGACTGAATACCAACAAGATTTATGTCCCACCCCCAAAGCCACTCAGTTCCTCAGTAGCCATTAGAACCCAATACTCCTGGTCTCCAGCCCGCAGAGTCTATGCTGGGCAACCCCGAGAGATCATTATTATTTATACTTACCATCCTAGGCCTTTGTATTTTGTCAGTATGTATTTTAAATAATCAGCCTTCTATATAGTTTATAAGGAACCACAAAAGCTCTGAATAGCCACAGCAGTCTTGAGAAAGAAGAACCCCCTTCCTGTTCTCTTCCAAGACACATATTTACCCATTAGACCTTTTTTTCCTCAAGTTCTTTCTTATTAGACAAGCCTCTGATAGTAACCAGTTTCATTTATTGTTGATTTAAGTTAAAATGTTGCCTTTCTCCTGGTATTTTAAAGCCTTATCCCTAATATAAGCAAGAAGGACTTTGTCCTGTCTCAGGAAAACTCAGCCATAATTGAGTTGTGGAAGGGACATAGAAGGACATAAGATTTTCAACCTTCCCAGATATTAAACTACATAGGCCAAGAATGCCATTGGATTTCAAGGCATTCTTTAGAAGATTAAAAACAAAATACAGCCTTTCATCTTTGCTAAATCAGTACTTTTTACATGTTTTTAAACCATGGGTGATTTTTATAGATGAAGCCTTCAATTGCAGTTTAGGATTAAAGGCAGATTGAAGAACTGCTGTGGTTGAGCATGGGTGGCAGTGGGGGAGTAAGCTTGGACAAGAAATTCTATAGGATTCTTTGGTTCAAAAAGCAAAATTTAAAAACTTCAAGAAAGATAGCACAGAATTTGAGAAGGATCTCATTGGTGAAGGCCTGCTGTATGAGGGAGGCAGATGGAAGAGGCACAGACGTGAAATCTAATCACACAGTGTGAGAGATGGACCGTGAACTTTTCTTCCACATCCTCAATACCAGATCGGGGCAACTTAGAGCTACTAAGAGCAACACCTCTTAGAGCTTAAGAGAGGAAAATATGTAAACGAATATACTAATTCACTCTTTGGACATAGCGATGTATGGAAGCAGTACCAAAAAGAGAGTTTAATGAAAATACTAATTCACAACTATTGAAGTAAGTGAATAGGTGACTAAGCCATAATGTGTCAACAAAGGAAATTAAAGTGTTTTGGGAAACATTGATAGCAAGGAAGAGATTTTTTGACTTATTTATTGTAGCTGGAAATGAGCCAAATGAACCATGGCAATTTTAATGTATTGTATACTGAACTATGTGCATACTGTATACCATATATTTGATTTTTATAGTTAAAATTCTAAAAGTAGGTGATCACTGAGGATAATACTGTCTGCATGTTGTTTAAGCTTGGAAATAGAAGTTGATGGGTTACCAGAGCTAAACTGTCACTGGGAAATTATAATGGACAGAGCCACATTTAAATTCTACAATACTTAGAAAGTATAATACTTAAATTTGGGTATTAAAATAGCAGCTATATTAGTGTGTCATTTACTGAAATGATAGATTAATTTATATTTGTGAATGCTGTAATGCACACTAAAGAATGGCAACTTTGGAAGTTATTTAGTAATTAGAAGGCAATGGAGTAAAAGCTCATGGTTTGCTGCTACTTTAGTACATCATTGTTAGAATTTTCATACATTAGACCTTCAGAGCCTACACATACATATTTAAAACTTTTTTCACTCTATGTTTTTTCTCAAGTCTTTTTTAGGTGATGAACTTAATTACCATCTAGTTGCATATTTTCAGGGTCCAGAGTACTCACCATTACATGATGTAGTTGCATATTTTTTAAGTTAAAATGGCATATACAGTCTATTTGCCAGGTTGAGAAAACAGACCGGTCTTGAAACTTTAAAAAGCTTTTTAAAAAACAGTATTATACAGATAGTATAAAGATGGGATAAATTTTTTAAAAATAGGCTACCAACACTTTTAATTTTGAAAATCTATTTGAAGGTGTTTTTTAATTTTTAATTTTTTTATTTTTTAAAGATTTTATTTATTTTTAGAGATGGGGGAAGGGAGGGAGAAGAGAGGAAGAGAAACATCAATGTGAGAGAGAAAAACTATCAGTTGCCTCTCATACACACCCCAGTGGGGGACAGAGCCTGCATCCCAGCCCTGTGCCCTGACCGGGAATTGAACCAGTGACCTTTCGCTTTGCAGGACAATGCACAACTAACTGAAGCCACATTGATCAGGGCCAAAGGTGTTTTTAGTTAACCACAGTTAACTCTAAATTTGGTTTTTTAAGCCCAAAGACAATGTTTTGTAATCCTCTAAGTTCTGAATCCAGCTTGCTTACACATTTTCAAATAAGTATATTTAAATGTAATTTTACATATATTCCATCTTCATATATTATTGCTAGTTATAACTTTTTTCTTGCTCATGGAAGTAATTTATGTTAATTTGGGGAAATTTAAAAATAAGGGAGTACAAGAATTAGTCTAATCCTACTCCCCATAAAGAAACCTATTCTAACTTTTACTCTGTTGCTTTTGTGTTATTTGGTCACACATACATGCACACATGTATACACACACATATATAGGCATACGAATGGGCATATAAACACAAATTTTTTAAACAAGAGTGGAAAATTAGAATTATAGTTTTTCTTGTATTTATATTGTAATCTCTCACGTATTCTTTGAAAACATGTTTTAAAGATTGGGTAGTGTTTTGTTTTTTTTTTTAATTATATTGTTTATTAGTTAGGGTTGTCCTGAAAAACAGAACCAAAAGGGTGTGTGTGTGGGTAGAAGGATGGGGGGAGGGAGGGAGGGAGGGAGGGAGGGAGGTGAGGCCTACTCACATTATGGAGGATAATCTGCTTTACTCAGAGTCTGCTGATTGCAGTTTTAATCTCATCAAAAATACCTTCACAGAAATATCTGGAATAATGTTTAGCCAATTTGACACATAATAGTAGCCGTCACAATTGGTATAACATAATTTTGGGCTCTGTCCCTCTGGTTTGGAAAAGAAAGATTTTCTAGGTTTTAACAATTATCATATTAAATGCAGTTAAACACCCTTGTACATAAAACTTCTTCATTTAATAATTGAACTTCACATACAAAACAAAGTCCCTACTTTAATGAGGCTTAAATTCTATGAGGAAAATAGATAAAAATAAGTTAATAAAAATATGCCAGGCATTCATAAATGCTGTGCGCAAAAATAACGGTAAGGAGAAAACAACAGTAAAAGCATAGGGTGCTATTTTATATAAGGTGGTTAGAGAAAGCCCCTGTTTAGAGTGTTTCCATTTAAGCAGAGACTAAATGAACAAAGTAGAAAACCATGCAGATACTTGGGCGGAAGGCATTCTGGGTAGAGGGAAAAATGAATGCACAGACCCTTAGGTGGGACATGCCTGTCTGGTGTGAGAGCAGCAAAGTGGCCGGTCTGCCTGTTGGAGCGGGAATGCTGGCCTCGCAGTGCCGTAGGGAGTGAGCTGACAAGACAGGAGACTGTGGTCAGCAAGTGGGATGCTTGTGCAGTTACCAGTGACCACAGAGTCTGGGGGTGGGTAAGTGAAGTGGGCATGGAGGGAAAGTCTGCATCTCTCATCTCTCTGGCTCCCATCATTTCTACCTTCCCACATCGTGACTGGGTTTTAGAAATGCTTAGACTTGTACACCCATTCTACAGCGGAGTTCAGTTTGGTCTTCAGTTCCCTAAAGTCTGTGATGAGCTAGAAGAGCAAATGGAAGAGTAGTTAATTACTCATCTTGTCAGAGTCGCTGGGCTTCCCCATCCCATGTGAGGCCCTGTCAGCTGTCGATAAAATGCTGTTTTGCACTCCTGTGTCCAGGATATTCTCCCAAATGAACGGGAAGAATGAGCTTATTACTTTTTATGTTTAGGGCCTTTCCTTTTGACTTGCTGGGGATCTGTGGGTATTTAGTTCTCTGACTCAATTCCTCGCTTGTAACAATAATAAAAAAGTAACCCCTTTTATAGGAGTGTTCTTTGAATATTTTGAATCCGTCTGTGGTCTTTTGAGGTTTTGAGCATTCCATGGTCTTAAATTTATTCCCAGGAAAGCTGTGTTTGTGTGTGTATGTGTGTGCGCACATACACACATATATATGTATTTTTGTGACTTAGAATAGTCTATAAATTTCAGGAGGCAGCTGAGGATTGCATGTTTTAACATCTGCTGTCATCAGAAGCTATTTCATGATCTCCCTCAGGGGCGGAGGCCAGATTTCTGAACACTACTTTTTCCAAATGTATTTGCTGAGTAATGGGTTTGGTTCTTCTTGGAACTTATAAAGTTACCTCATGGAATGGAAAAAGAAGTTTTTGCCAAAATTTGGAACATATACTTGACTGTGTAACTATACGCAGCCAAACCATGGTCAGATGTTTGTACATGGTGTGCTGATCATGTGCCCATTCTGCCGTGGGGTGGTTTGGGTTGGGGACATTAGCTGGCTCTGTGCCTGAGCCAGGAAGATTTTCACTCTGCATTGAAACCCTACATTATTGGGTTAAAAAAAAAGTTGATCTGATATATTTGGCAAATTGCTAGTTATTTCTTCTGGATGTATAAATCTCCTTATGTTTTATTACTATTTTAGTTTTATTTTATTGGCATCTTATATTTAGTATTTCAGTTTTTATTATGTAAAGATTATTTTATGAAAATTTTAGTTTATTAGGATTTTATTTGTATTTTAGTTTTCACTGTATATTGACTTTTATGAAATCTCTTAAAGAATTTTAAAGATTTGAGTATGAATTTGTAAACTATTATAAAAAGTCCTTTAATACCTTATAAAATTTTCAAAATCCCAATAACTACATACTCTAAGATCTTTGTTAGGGATTTACATAACTTTATATCTTCTTATTTGACTCAGCATACTATACTCAGTAATTATAGAAAAATTAACTGCCATTTTCAACAAAGAAATTCTGTAGTATTTTCTTACCTCACATTATCTTTATTTTATTGCTTCTCATTTTCTATTATTTTGTTTAGAAAACAGCAAGGCTCGAAGTAATGACTTTGCTGAAAAGAATGGACTTCAGAAATATGAGTATGTCTTACATCCAAGAACTACAGGCTTTACTTTTGTAGTAGACCGTCTAAGAGAAGGTAAGCACCCATCTCAAAGTATACTTTTTTATGAGTGGAAAAATTGCTAAACTTTTATATATATATTACATATATAAAATATATACAGCCCTTTAGAATTTACAAAGCTCTTTTTTGTATTTTATCTCAAGAGATGAGATACTAAGTTTTTATACTAGGTTGACCTCCTGCACTAAAATGTTCTATTATGTAGTCTTTAAAAATAGAAAAGATCTTTATAAAAACAACAATTTTCCCTCTTTTGGAATAGGCAAAATGATATATACAGTTCAACTGTCACTCCATTTTTAAATGTTTCTCAAAGCACTAAAATTGTCTTGAAAGTATCTTATTACTTCTACTATAGTTCTTTATAGCTTAAGTATAGTTTTACATTATTATTCTATTCACTCCAACAGATGATTCTGGTTGGTAGGAAGGCAGTAATGCCACCTTCATTTTATAGTTAAATAGAACCGGCATCTAGGGTGGTTAGTAAATTTTTGTAGGTCAGGGACAGAACCTCATTCTGCTTCCTAGTTTGTGTCTCATACTACTACCTCCCTCACACTTACTTCTTCTAGAACCTTGCCAGTTGAAGAGCCTATGGGGACAAGGTGATTCCATTGACAATATTACACCCACCACCCATTTAAATGTTTATGTCTTGATATTTTTATGTAAAAAAACCCCAAATTTTACATTTTATTATAGCTGCAGATTTATATATGTATATACTCATACACTCATGCACATACAAATAAATAGCACACACATTAATATATTTGAAAAGGGAACATGCTAAAGTGTTATTAATTTTACAAGAATAATTCAAAGCCCAGAGTCACCTAGCAGAAGAAAAATCTCGTGACATCTGTGACAAATTATCACCGTCATCTGGTAAATGCTTCTTTGTCACAAAACTGCTCGTTCCTAACATTAAAGGCCTTGAAACATTATGTAAATATAAAGTTCTTTCTTCTTCCCCTAAATAGCATTATTATTTTATTAGGGTTTAGTGTGCTTTAAGATACTAAGTACAGCATAGCCTTAGTTAATAAACCTTGCCAAGATAAAGCATCTTTATAACGAAGTACCCATGATTTTAAAGAAATATATGATCAGCCCAAAATTGCAAACTGAAAATGTTGTCCTTGTTAGTTTGGCTTGCTTTTGGAATTCTGTGTTTATAGTTAATATGACATGGACTCAAGGGCTTAATGGTTGCATTGTGTATGAATAGTGAGTACCCATCTGTACCCCTGGAAGCACATGGCGAATTCAGTTCTCTGTGCCCATGAAAGTCATAGGGAGGCACAAAGACATTAAGGCAGTGAGGCTTTTTTTTTTCCTATTTCTTTCTTTTTAAAAAAAAATATTTAGTTTTAGAGAAGGGTGGGAGAGAAACATCGATGTGTGGTTGCCTCTCATGCACCCCTCTCTGGGGACCTGGCCCACAACCCAGACATGTGCCCCAACCAGAAATCAAACCAGCAACCCTTTGGTTCACAGGCTGGTGCTCAGTCCACTGAGCCACACCAGCCAGGGCACTTTTTTTTTTTTAATGTGGTACCACTTAACTGTGGCTTCCCATTCAGAATCACTCTTTTCATTTGACAATATTTTTTTATTTCCTCACATAATCTAATATTTTATAGTATTTCATGATTTTATTAAAGGTATTTCTGACATCATGGAACACATTCATCTACTGGATTTATCTGTCAGCACAAGTATGCTGTTGGAACACATCTTTTGCTAATAAAAATCTTTCTAAATGTAGGCAGGATAATTGAGAGATCATTTTATAGTGGATAAGGATATATCTGTAGTTCTGAAATCTGGAAAATATTTTAGCAGCAAACTGATGTATAACTTTGGAGAGTGGGTATTACTTAATTATCACTAGATGTACTAGACAACAACCACAGTATGCAATTTTTCCTGCCAGAACTGGCAACTGATTCCCGCGCATTCCCCACCTCGCCATTTCAGTGAAAAGAGAAACACAGTTAGATGATTCCATTTGCTTTAGTTAGAAAGGTATAATGGGGCCAATATACTATAAAAGATGTAAGAAATATGATAATATTATAGTAACAGTTAATATTTATTGTTTGCTAAATATCAGGCATTATGTTAAGTGTTTTGTCAATTAATCCTCATAATAATCCTACATGATAGTTCCTACTATTAATATTTAACTTATAGGGCAAAATCAAAGCAGAAATTGAGATGAGGACGCTTGTCAAAGTTACTGGAATATGATTTGTCTGACTGAGTAGCCATGCTCTTTTTACTGTAACTTGGGGCCTTTTGTATTTGCAGTATGATTTTAGTTAATAAAGTACCTTTGTGATAATAGTGATCTGGATGGTTTTCTTCAAGATTTTTAAAAAGAAAAAAAAGATGGCAGTCACAAGGGAAGTGGTTCTGAAAGCTGCCTGAGAGGCCAAGGGGAGCAGGCGCAGTCCAAGGGACGTCAGGTGGAGGAGAGAGGAGGGCTGCTCTGCCTCAGGCGGGGCCTTGGGGCAGGCGTGATGTCAGGTGAACAGGAAGAACAAACTTCCTTGAGAGACAGGGGCAAAGAGGATCTTAGAGGTCATGTAGGCCAGAGTATCCTTTTAGAAAAGGAATCTGACTCAGAAAGGGCCCAGCACAACTTTCTGATCTTTAGGCCCCTGAGATCTAATCAATTTGAAACAATGATATACCCGAAACCTATAATTTTATTAACTGATGCCACCTCAATAAATTCAATAAACATTTTTTTAAAAAGAAGAAAAGAAGCTTGCTCTTAAATAACTGTTAGAAATAAATATACTTAATGGAGTCTGGCAGACCACATACTAAAACCAGTTATCATTAAGTAACATTTTTACTGCCCACACGTATAACCGAATTTAGTGGTGCTGACTTCCAGTAGCACGAGTGTGGAAATGAGAAATGTATGACATCAAGAAGTTAAGGATAAAAGGTCTTACTAGGAAGCATTGAATAAGAAGAAATGCAAAACAAAGAAAGTAGTTCCTCTTCCTCTGTTTAGAATATATTTATTGAGATGAAGAACATTTAGAAAATACATACTTATCCTGAAATTCAAAACTCTTTATAACTTTGTACAGGTATGTTGTTCCTGGAATAATAACTGCAAAGAGTTTATACCCCACCCCCAGTACTTTGATTTCCATCATTAGTGTACTTGCTTTATACTCTTACTAGATTGTAACCACCCAAAGGTTATGGAATGCCCTGCATATAATAGGGACTCAACCAGTATTAGTTGAGTTGAATATTATTTTCTTTTATCTAAAAAGTAAGACAAGTATAGTGTCCTCCTAGATCTATATTTGTCATGGGTGGTTTATTTCATATGTACCTCAAATCATAGGGCATTTCAGTATGTGATTATACAGGTTTTTTTTTCAGTAGTAGATTAACCCAAACCCAAAAGGAAGTTGCTAACTTAGCCAAAAGAGACTTTTATGAAAGAAAGTTTTTGTTTTTTATTACATATTTAATAATAATCTTTTAACTTATTACACTAAAAGTTAGTTTATTTCACCCCTGGTGCTTCGTAATTTTTAGCAATGAGAGCATTATTCTTCCTTGATTTCATAGAAATAATGATTTGGTTTAATCATTATTTGGTTTTGCTGTTTTTTATGAGCCAGTTAATTGTAACCATGCAATAATTACTTTCACCATTAGGCGGCACAAGTGTGCACATCTGAAACATCTTGAACTTAGGTTCAAGTAGTTGGGGGTAAGGATAAAACATGTAATATTTGTTTGAAGGGATGTCTTGTTTAAGATGGACTTTGCCTTCAAGACATTTACCATCTTCATGAACTGATAATACACATGGAAAAAATCTAAAAAATAATATAAGACAATATAATTATGCACTAACTTATATGGTATATAGTATACAAATATGATGCCGAATAATTACAGCAGTATTTGGTAAAGAGAGATCATATAGTGTTGCAATGCTCAGATAAGACTTTTTCAAGAAGTTCAATTTTCCTTAGACCTTAGAGACTATGTGATTGGACAGGCAGAAAAAACGAGCATGGTTGAGGGCAGAAAAAGAAGAGTTTATGAAAGGGCACAGCATGGAGCTGAGCAGTCAGCGAGGCGAAACCACCCTCACTGAGCTGGAGACTCGTGCTGCAGAGTAACAGACAATATTTAAGAAGATTGTGTGGAGACATTCTTGTTGAAAAATTTAATTCCTGCCCCCCAAAGAGTCATGTTTTTAGTTTATCCCTTTCCAGATCAAGTCAGTCAAGAAAATCAGCTCATGTGTTAAGACTTTAAAACATCATATGCATCTGTTTATGTTTTGGGTTTGAAATAAGTAAAATGTTTTTGGATTTAAAGTGGAACATTCCATATTTCAATCCATGTTTAATTCATATGCCTACATTCTAAATATGAAGGAACGAAGGACACTGTCTTTCTACTAATCTAGTGATAAAGGGTTAAATGGCTAGAGAAAAAATAAATTCCTGCTAGGTAATTTGGGTCAGCACATCTGATCAAAATTCTTCAGTCTACATCAAGGGAAAAAGAACTGCTGACTTGACACACCCAGATCTGATCGTCCAGTCTTTGGCTCCCTCATTTTGGTCTGCACTGGTTCTCACCTGCTCTGAAAAAGCTGGCAGTCACATAAGACAGAAATGCAGCATACTGATGACAGACAGCTCGGTCTTCAGCAGTGTGGTTAGACCATTTAATTTCTTGAACTTTTTGCATTGAATACAAGCCCTTATGGATAATTCAGTATGTCTCTTGCCTATAGTAGCTATATATAGTGGGGAGTAAAGACCGCCAGCAGCCACCACTCTGTGGCTCACACTGCACTTATCTTAGTTGGTGAGCCTCCCCAATTGCATTTCAACAATCCTCTTTAACAGCCAGCATGTTCTAGGAGGCCAGGAAGAAAGGCAGACAAACTATTGAATTATTGGGTGCACTAAATGCCATGTACTCTGACCTTTTCATGTGACTTT